GTAAATCACGAATAGCGATACACTAAAATTAACCTGGTCAGTATCATCTGCAGCGTTATCGTTCTTTTATTCCTGAATCGAGTAGGTCATGATGAGACCTTTTCAACGAATGGTCGGAACCAAGATCCAAAAATACTCGCATCAACACGAAGGGGCGCGCAAATTTGACAATTTAGTGGAAATGATGAATTACAAAAATCTTTGAGGCCAAATATCTTGAACAGCCGATCTTGCTACAGTGTGGGCCCCTGAAGCAACTTTGTAGCTCGTATTCTCAGCTTTCAGAATATGTCAAGAAAAGTTTCGGATTCACAAAGTTGCTCTTGAAAAAGCCAAAAAACGAGTAAAATCTGGTATTTTTAGTGGAAATGATGAAATGTAAAAATATTTGAGGCCAAATATCTCGAATAGCCGATCTCGCTACAGTGTCGACCCCAAAAACAAACTTATAGCTCTCATTCTTAGCTTTCAGAATCTGCAAAGAAAAGTTTCGGATTCCTAAAATCGTGGAAATCAGAGCCAAAAACCGTGTTAAAAATGGTGGAATTTGGGGCGTTTTGGGGCATTTTTAGCGTTTTTTACAGTTTTTGACCCCTATATGACCAGGTTTTGATCAAAAACCACTTTTTCCACCAAAAACCATAATCCCTTGTCCTTATAAATCGAAAAACACCCAGAAAGGGCCATGTCGCACTTTTCGCCTTTTGGCCGCACTGTGCAAAGATTGCACGTTAGGCGCCAAAAGACCCGAACAGACTCAGCCGTCAAAACACGGGGCGGTAGACACTGAGAGACGGTTGCAAGCAGCCGCCTGAAGCCCTACACTACGATTCGAAGTGTGAGACAGTCTCACACTATTTAGTGCGAACCGCTATGCCTCGCCGTGATCCACGTTCGTCTAACGATTGCAAGACTTTTAAGGGGGCACACCAGTGAAAATGTAGAGGTTTTGAAAAACGATCACTCTGAGAAAAGTAACCTATGTATTCGATTGATATTTTATTCGTGGCTCAAAATTATGTCAAAGAAAAGAAAAATCAGTATGGGAGGTCGGGGTGGCGATGGCAAGACGGAGCGCCAGTGCACTTCATTTTTCTGCGACCTCGTCTCACTCCTGCCACGATGCCGCCTCTCTGGATTGAGCCTCGAGCACGGGATTTGAAAATTTCTCAACAGGACACATGTGGCTATGGTCTGAACCACGGGCATGCAAAAAGAATGATTTTGAATTTGTTTTTTCAAAAGGCAAAAATAAAAAGAAATTTTTTAACCAATTTTTTCGCGCTTTCATGGCTGCAGCTCACGTCCTATTTATGGGATGGCCATTTCCGAGGTTCAGACCATAGACGCAAGTTTAACGAACATTTTGCCGCAAACCGCATTAATTTATCTCAAGTTTTGCGCCCGTGAGAGTGGCACAAAGGTACAAAAAAGGTGTTTTGAGAAAAAGCCCTTTTAGTAGAAACATAGATTTGACGGTTTTTTTTGGATTATAAATGCGCTATTTGACGTATTTAAGTTCGTTTTGCACCAAAATGACCCTCTTTTTAACTGCGTTTGGGTGGTTCAAGGGTTTTGTAATTAAACTTCAAGTGAAAAAAGCTGAACGTTCACAATTGGTCCAAAATATCCAGGAATAATAACCTTTTTAACAACTTCAAAAATGTGCACAAGCCAAAGTAATTGGAATTTTGGGGTGGGGTTTGCGGCATTCGACTCGGGATGAATAGCAGAAAAATAAGATAAAATATAAAAGAAGGCAAAAATTTAACGATTTTCACTGGTGTGCCCCCTTAAGTATGAGACACGGCTTGTCCCACACTTGCTACCTATGGCTCCCTGCGGTCGAATGCTACAGGACCCACGCTAGCAAGTGTGGGAGTGTGGACATCCGGCCGGCGTCTCACACTTGCAAGCGTTAGACAAACGTGCACTACAAACCTAACTGTCTACTAAGTACACACTTACAAACGCATGCTTGACGCCGTATAACTCCATGCGTGAAGCATGCGTTTGTAAGTGTGTACTTGCAAGCATGCACTTGTAAGTGTGTACTTGGCCAAGCATGCGTTTGTAAGTGTGTACTTGCAAGCACGCATTTGTAAGTGTGTACTTAGTAGACAGTTAGGTTTGTAGTGCACGTTTGTCTAACACTTGCAAGTGTGAGACGCCGCACAGTGGGCTGAAACGCCCAAAACGCGATGATAATTCTTGAGGGGGCCTATCAAGGCCAGAATCTGTGTCAAGGGGTTTTCGAGTGCAAGGAACCCATTTCTGACAAAATAAAGCCCGAAAAATGAACAAGGGTGGATTCAGTATTGGTTAGGGCGGTTAACCGTAACGCGGGCATCAATGGCCACCAAAATCGGTATCTGGGGGTTTTCGGCAGCGGGGAAACTATTTCTGACAAATTCAAGCCCAAAGAAGTGAACGACGGGGGTAGATCTAGCATTCGATTGCCATTTGATTATCCACTTACCCACTTTTGGGGCCCCTTTTCTCGAAAACGGGGGCAAACGGGGGCAAACGGCGATATGCACCGGAAAGTCGGCGGTCCACTCTACCACGGACATGTCGGACCCTTTCGCAAATGTTCGCAACTCGACTTATCTCAAAGTGAAAAACGTCCTAGATACGATTTTACACTACTTTCTCCGGCTTGTTTCTTCTAACCGGGTAACCTTAATGTAAATATGTGGAATGCTCTGGATTGGTCGCGTCGTCAGCTTTCCAAAAACATATAACATGTTGGTTTTTTCTTAACGAGACGGCCAGTAGAGGGCAAACAGTACACCAATGACAAACATTGCGCGAAAACATGAAAATGTGCCAAGTTTGGCGTTCCCCCATGGCTCACACGAATGAGATATTGGCAAGCAGATAATTGTCACGTATAGCCCAGACCTTCCTTGAAAATATCTGCTAGTTTGTAGGACTCCACTCCTCGATTTCAAAATATCCACTTCTCATCGCGTTTTGGGCGTTTTAGCCCACTGTGCGCCGGCCGGATGTCCACACTCCCACACTTGCTAGCGTGGGTCCTGTAGCATTCGACCGCAGGGAGCCATAGGTAGCAAGTGTGGGACAAGCCGTGTCTCATACTTAAAAGTCTTGCAATCGTTAGACGAACGTGGCTCACAGCGAGGCATAGCGGTTCGCACTAAATAGTGTGAGACTGTCTCACACTTCGAATCGCAGTGTAGGGCTTCAGGCGGTTGCTTGCAACCGTCTCTCAGTGTCTACCGCCCCGTGTTTTGACGGCTGAGTCTGTTCGGGTCTTTTGGCGCCTAACGTGCAAGCTTTGGTCTTTGGTCACACCACGTTGAAGCCAAGGGCGGATCCGAGGGGGAGGAAGGGGGGCGTCGCCCCTCCCTGCCGCCTGAAAGGCAGGCAACAAGTCGCACTTTGCCCCTGTATGTAGGCAACCTTTGCGACATCCCCCCCCCCCGAACCCGTCTCTCGATCCGTCCTTGATTAAAGATGGGTCTCGTTCAAAAATCTACTTGTCAGCTATAAACTGTCAGCACCTTCAGAATATTTCTTACAGAAGAGCGTGCGTCTGAAGCGGATGTTTCATTTTTCATAGTCAGTCGACCTAGCCTCTCTTCAGTCCCCGCTGTCTGAGACCACATGAACTGCAATCACTGTTCAGGCTAAAGCTGGACGACAGTATGAAAAATGCTGCAGTACGGTGAACTTGCGCGCGAGCACGAGTATCTCGACCGCGAACACTCATGCCGAGACGTCCATATCGGTGACATTTTCTTTTATTTATTTACGACACGACACGCCGAAATATATATCTGCTATTTCTCAATTAACGATAGTAATTACGGGCAAGAGTGCTTAAATCGGGCCGACAATTTCTAAAATTCGCACACAGTTGACCGAAACTAAAAATGACCTCGCAGAAGTCTATAAATATTTTTCCGGGCAACTGTGGTTATATAGAACGAGGCGGGGATGGCTATATCTGTCCACCATTTTTTCCGTCCCCCGTATTATTGTGTCCCCCCTAAGATAAAATTATAAAACATATATTATATATAAAATATAGGGGTTACCCCAGCAGGTATACAGTCCCACCAGGTATAATCCCATCAGGTATAATCCCACGAGGTATAATTCCCGCCAGGTATAATTCCCAGCAGATATACACTATTTTATTTTATTTTAATTTACACACATTCCCAACAAGTATAAATCCCACCAGATATACACCTATTTCATATGTAATTATATGTATTTATTTGAACGGCGCGCGGTTCGTCAGTGCGTCGTCTGCTCCGCTGCGCATGTCACCAACGCCCTCTCTGCGGAGAAGTTAGGAACTACGGCCGTCCGGCGCTGCACAGCAGTGCGTCAGTGTCAGTCCGCCGTCCGCTCCGTGCTTCGCCGTGCCGTGTTGTCCAGTCCCACCGTGCTTCGCCGCTCCGTGTTTATCTCTCTCTATGGAGACTCGGCGAGTGCCCGGCAAACTTGGGAAAGGGTTTACTTACACCAACGGAGATGGATACTTCTTCAAAATTAACGGTCGAAGGAACGGTAATGTTTACATGAAGTGTACGGAGTGCAACATGCGCGGGAAACTGGAGGGAGAGCGTCTGATTGTCAACGCCACTGGACTGCACAGTCATCCACCAGACTATGTGACAGAGAAAGTGCTGCTTCTCAAGCAAGATTGCAAGGAAGAAGCGAAGAAAATGCTGGGTGGCAAGATTCAGAGCGTGTTTACTCAAGCCTGCGATAGGTAAGTGTTACGCTAGGATGTGATGCCTGTTGATGCCTGTTCTATTTATTTACCTGTTGTGGTGACGTGCAGGGCTGATGAGGGTGCGCGCTCAGAAATCACCTTCGAGTCATGTAGATCGTCGATGTACCGGGCTCGCTCTGAACAGCACCCGCCCGTTCCGCAGGATTTCGAGGAGTTTGAGTCGTCTCTTGTTGACCAACGGTACTCAGACAAGTATGGCAAGTGTCCTGATGGCTCTCTTATGACCCGAGGCCTTGTGGGACCATCAGGTCACAGGTCTCTCGTATTTACGAGTGATTTGATGCTCAATATTATGGTGGCTGCTCTCTGGCTATTTATTGATGGGACTTTTGCTAGTCGGCCTGACACGCCCCCATCTCGTCAGCTGCTCGTGATCTCAGCTTTGTATCAGGGAATGGTGAGGAACGAACTGAAGGTGGAATTCATTCGCAAACTTACGGTAACGTACGCTAACTTACGCATCCTGTTTTTTTTTTACAGTTGTTCCCAGTGTGCTATGCGCTCATGGAATCGAAGTCGGAGGTTGCATATCGTGCATTGTTCGCATTTGTGAAAGATTTGGCGCCATCCCTTGCACCGGAGAACATTGTTACTGACTATGAGGCTGCATTCGTACCAGTGATCAGAGACGTTTTCCCTTCTACTATCCACCAGGGGTGCTGGTTCCATTTCTGTCAGGCATTACATCGCCACTTGGGTTTCCTCGGGCTCATCACTTTTGTGAAGCGCAACTTTAATGCATTGACAGTGATCCGAATGTGCTATGTTCTTCCTCTTCTTCCTTCGAACAAAATGATCTTCGGTCTCAATGCTATTGAGTATGTAGCTCATATGAACGGCATTCTGGGAGAGCTGCAGCCGTTCCTGGATTATGTGCGTGAAACTTGGATGGTCAGAATCGGCACTGACCTTGTCAGTGTACACCGTTCCAAGCACAGAACGAACAACTTCTCTGAATCAAGTCACAAGGCACTTCAGGATCGGATTGGAACAATTCGCCCCGGAGTGTGGGACTTTGTCAGTAAGTAGTACCTGTCATTAGTATTGTCATTGTCGTGCGTCATCGTCCATTTTCTTATTCACATGCACTGTGATTGCAGAGGCCATCAACTTCGAGCTGATTCAGGCTCACTTGGATGTGATCCGTGTCCAGGGTGCCAAGCCAACTCGTAGAAACCGCCGCGCTCGGTGGATTCGGCAGGATGCCAAGATCAACAAATGGCTGAATCAATTGGACAAGGGTGAGAAGACTGTTCTGGAGTTTCTTGTTTCGGCACAAAACATCGCCCGAAAACTGCAAGGCGTGCAGTTACACTTGGAAACTCAAGTCAGTGTGGAACCTACCGATTACCCTGTTCAACTTCAAGCTGTTGATGATCCAGGTAAGTCACGCTTTGTATCGTAAAGACGCTTATGACTCCACGGTGCATGTTAGCATCTTATCATCTTTTCTTTGCAGAAGATACGGTTGATGATCCGTCAAGTGTGTCAAGTCAGGATAGCCAGGAGACCCAGGGCAGTGACGATACCCAGGACGGACAGGATACCCAGGCTAACGACCCGGGTGGAAGGATCTGCAGTTAAAACTATAAGACAAAACAGGAGTTTTTCTGTTGTAAAATGTATTGTTTTAAGTGAAAAAAATTTAAAAAATGAAGAAGTTAAAAGTAACTTCTAAGAGAAACAAAATTGTAGTTAAACTGTAGTCAACTGCAGTAAAACTGCAGTTTAACTATGCAAAAACTACCAGTTATTTGGAACAACTATAGTTTCTCCCTCTTTCTCGTGCTAGTTAAACTGCAGTCAAACTGCAGTTCAACCTTAGTTTCGAACAACTTAAAAGCCATTTGAAATAACTAGAAAAAAAGTAGTGAGGGTTCAGTTTGCGAAAAGAGAGTGAAAATTCAAAATCGAGCCTCAGCTCTGTAATCAAGTTGCCACCTTAGGTGTTTTCAACCTAAGGTGTTAGTGAGTGGAGTCACGTCCTTTCGGAGATGATCACTCGTATAAAATATACAGCTCTACGCATCGAGGACTGATGCACTAGGGGGCACAGCGATCGGAGCCTAACCAAACGACGACCCGTAGCCGTACGCGAGAGGAAAGTTGTACTCAATGTTATTTCCCTAATATTCCACCTATCGAGGTCAATCCTTTTGTGGTAGAGTCATAGCATCTCAAATATTTGCCCTGCACAGAGTTTGATCCAAAAATATTCCTCTGATCGGCTGCAAGAACACTTTTAACTCGAAGACGTAAATGATGCGACACTAGCGCCACCTAGCGGATGATGCACTAAGTGTCCATTTTTGCGGTAGTCAATATGTTTTGCTCCAACTGCACTCAACGAAAGTGTTATTTAATACTACTAGCATGTAATATTATGTTTATTTTTAAAAGGATATATGAAGGACTTAACAGAATTACTTTGATGTAGATTTAAATAAAAAAAATTCAAAACTAAGAATTTTTCTACATCTTTTAAACTACAAGCAATTTTAGAGTAATCCTATGTAAAGTTGTAGTCCTCTTCATGACAAACTTGCATTTTATGACCAATTTTAATGTTTAATGTCAGTATAAAAAATGTAAGCGCAAAATATTTTGGACCTTTGCGACAAGTCAGTTTACGTAAACTTGTCGCAGACTTTGGGTTACTTTGTCTCTTTAGGGAGGCTAACTTTAAAAAAGAGGAAACTTGCATAAATTTTTAAACAGCGAACAACTATACCATTTAAAGTAAAGCCAACTGTATTAGGTATAAACCTTAAACGTTTGGTTTTAACCTGATACTTTTTTTAAAGGGAGACGACAAAAAATTCATCGTAAACCTCAACTGCTTTAAAAGCAATGAAGCAGCCACTGTAATTCTGAGTTCCCCTAGTGGTATGTAACTTTTACTTGATACAACTAGAAGATTGCATAAGAAGTATGGAAACGTACTAGTTTTGAGACATAACTATCAACGTTAGTATGTCGATAAGAGAATATGTTTAAAATACATACTAAGTACGGAAACATTCTAGATGAGAGACAGTTTTTGAATATTTATTTTCAGCAGTCGCTTTACTTCCAGAAATGGATATTAAGTAAATTGTAACTGAAACTTAAACTGAACCTCCAACTGAACTTCAAATCAACACTAAAACTACATTGTGAACTGACAGAAAACTACAATTTCAACTGCAAAGTGGAATTGTATTTAGTCTTCAGTTTCTTTTTAAAACTAACTTTAGTTCGGGAACTGCAGTTTTGGTACTGTAGTTGAAACTACAGTTTAACTAAAGATCCTTCCACCGGGGAGGATGTTCAGGACGTGTTGCAGCCACTGCCACTCCTCATGCCACCAGGACACGTCGACTTCAGCACACGTTTCACACTAGAGACTGACCAGTTGTCGCAGGATCTTTTCAGCACTCAGGATTTTGTCACCGAACATCCTCTTTCGCCTCTTTCCCCTCCTGTCCAGGAACGTGGTGAGTTTCGAAAAGGGTCAAAGGTTGCAGCATGTTCATGTAATGTTCCGTTTGGTTGACGGCTATTTGTTTTCTCAGACCTCCAACGTACAGTTTTGTGATAGGACAAAAACTCGATTTGTTGTTAATTATAGAAGAAAGTGTAAACGTTCGTCGTGCCATCTCTTGCCTAACAAGGGCTTTGCTTCGCTTTGCTTGTTAATTATCTTGCAACTATTCGAGTTTTTGTCCAATCACAAAACTTTATATTCCAAAATTTTGCATTTTTTTAGATCTTTCGAACTGTATGATCATATTGGATTCACAGGCAATACATATTCTCTTAAAGATCACTTTTTAGTGTTTTTGAGCTTTTGCAGAAATGTGTAAAGTTTCGCCCTGGCAACAATTTACGTCCGATCACAAAGTTATACATACCAAAAAATTGCATTTTTGAGCCCTTTCCATGCATGTATGTATATGGGACCTTGGAGCAAACAATAGACCCTTAACTCCAATTTTTAGTGTTTTGCAACTTTGTTTTAGCGTTAAAACAAGTGCCCGGGCTTAACCAAGATGTTGAGCCACATCGCCCAGACTTTGCAGGAATATAAAGAAACATATTCCGCACCCATCGCGAGATGGCCGCATCCTGGGCGATCCATGGTTTGGTCCCTGTAGGGCCAAAAGTGCCATTTTTCACTATTAGACCCAAGTTTGGAGCCTCCAAAGAGATGGAAGGTGACGTCACCAGACCCCAGCATTGTGGGATCTCTTTTCTTATATGGTCAACTGCAAACAAAACCATACGCCGTTTAATTCTGGGATTTTCGACCCACCCTAATGGACACGAAAGTGGAGTCACCATACTATCTCACTACGGTGCCCGACCGGTTCGCAAATGTTCTCAACTCGACTTATCCCTCGTCAAAAAAGTCGCAGACGACGATTTTCGCAAACATTTGAAGACCCGCAGTTTCCACACTTTTCGTTTAAAAACAATTCAAATGAAAGGACTAGACTGCTTGATTTTTTGCCTTTCCAAAAACATAAAAAACATGTTGTTTTGCTCTGCAACAGCGATAGGAGTGGCCTTTCTTACGCGACCCCCGCCAAATGTATCATTTTCTCGCGAAATTGCTCTTCTTTGAGGTCGCTAAACGGCAAGTAGTAGTAATTTGAGGTGCAAAAAATGTTCGTAACTGTATAGAATGGTCCTTTCTGAGTTCAAAAACGTCGGTCCCATCCCTCTAGGACAAAAACGGCGAAATCGGACTTACGTGCGACTTTTTCCGGTTTCGCCCCACTGTGCGGCGTGCTTGGCCTCCGCCGGTATGCAGAGCCCTTCAGTCGCGCATGACGCCGCCTAGGCCGCGTGTCGTTGAGGCGTGCTTGGCGTCCTCCAGGTTGTTGGGCCCTTGAATCACACAAGCACGTCGCCTAGGCCGCGCCGCAGCCAGCGTGTCCTCCAAGCGTCCCTGCCATTCGTGCGGCATTCAGCCTCACCACCTGGGTGACGGCGTTCTTGGCCTCCGCCGGCATGCATAACCTTCAGTCGTGCAGCACGCCGCACAGTGGGGCGAAACCGGAAAAAGTCGCACGTAAGTCCGATTTCGCCGTTTTTGTCCTAGAGGGATGGGACCGACGTTTTTGAACTCAGAAAGGACCATTCTATACAGTTACGAACATTTTTTGCACCTCAAATAACTACTACTTGCCGTTTAGCGACCTCAAAGAAGAGCAATTTCGCGAGAAAATGATACATTTGGCGGGGGTCGCGTAAGAAAGGCCACTCCTATCGCTGTTGCAGAGCAAAACAACATGTTTTTTATGTTTTTGGAAAGGCAAAAAATCAAGCAGTCTAGTCCTTTCATTTGAATTGTTTTTAAACGAAAAGTGTGGAAACTGCGGGTCTTCAAATGTTTGCGAAAATCGTCGTCTGCGACTTTTTTGACGAGGGATAAGTCGAGTTGAGAACATTTGCGAACCGGTCGGGCACCGTAGTGAGATAGTATGGTGACTCCACTTTCGTGTCCATTTAGTCCGGCGATGCCGTTCGATGCCGTTTTCCTCCAAATTGACGTCAAACATGCGAATTCGTCTCGCCGCGCCACGCCACCGCACTGCACCCTCGGGAGAGGACAGCAGAGGCGCTTTGCGCACTGTCTACTTCAGCCAGCTCTGCCAGACACTCTGCCACACCAGACATCGTTTTGGGCTGCCACCGATAGTGATACTTACAATTTCCGTGGTCATGCTGTTACGCCAAGACATGCATCGTTACGCAGGCCTCGGGTGCAGCCAGTAGCAATAGGCGGCACAAGAGGCGCGTTTGGTCGTCTCCTGGGTATATCTTTTGTCTTCTTATCTCCTCAGAAATGATTTTCACTACCAATGAAACTCTCAAATCCAAAGTTTTGCGAGAATTCAGCAATGAGGTTCGTTTTACCCCCCTTCACGCACCTGGCTCTGCCTCTTAGGGTGCCTTTCAAGTTCAAATCTCGTCAGAAATGAATTCAGCTACCCCTAAATACACTATACACAAAATTTGGTGAAGAAAATAATTTCGTGCGACTTTTTCCGTTTTTGCCCCACTGTGCGCCGCAGCCAGCCTAGCCTGTCCTCCGTGCGCGACGCCACCACTGTTGAGGCGTGCTTTCTTATTGCCTAGTTTCTACTGTAACTGGAATGTTTTGTAATATTAAAAATGCATCCATGGGATGTACGTACGTGAGTCCACGTTCCTGCCTTTAGGGTAGTACAGAAAGAGTGTCACAACTAGAAGAAATGAAAATGAAACATGAATTTTGAAACAGAAAAGATAGAATATTTTATTGGGTCTTCAACAGTGAGCAGGGGAAAAGGAAGAAGACTCAGCAATAAATATTTTCAAAAGAACTTGCAACTCGTCGGGAACCCCTGCACCCCCTGTGCGTCGTCACTCCATCTCCCTCACACCCGCATGGAATGTCCCGCGAGTGCGAGAGAGACGGAGTGCCGATAGGCACTAGCGGGTGCAGCCGGCCCCGGCTGCTGCTGCGCGTCGTCGCGCGCATCTCGGCCGAGGCCGCCAGGTGCCAAGGCCGCGAGGGTGGCGGGGTGGCGATGGTGCTGAACTCAGAAAATCGT